CCAGGGGGCGGGGCTGGCTGGCATGTGGTGCTGGGGGATTGAACCGCGGTCCCTGATGCCTTGCCAAGCTTGTTCCAAGGAGATGCTTTAGACCACTGAGCCATCTCTCCAGCCCTATCTAAAATTTTTTAACTTACCTAAAATCTATGAAAATGAGATGCAAAGTTTCATCTACTGTGAACATTTAAACAAAAAAAGATTTAGAAGAACTGGAGCCGACTAATCGTCTTTGTACATAGCAGCTGAAAAATGATCTCTTTAACTCAGCGAAGCTTGATTTGAGGGGGGAAAGAGAGCTAAGAATAAATCTGTGTTCAAATAAATGTATGGTAAAAATATGGAGTACTGTATTGATTGGTGCTGCCTCCCTGTGGGCACAATGTGAATCACAACCAGCCTTTTAAAATAACAGATTGCGTTTTTGTAAATAATGTCATCTAAGTTTTCTAAGTCTTACCTGAGGCCCGGGGTAAACAAAAGCTTGTTTTGCAAGTTTACTTTTTTTTTTTTTTTTTACTTTTTATCTTGAGTTTAGCAAACTTGTTTTCATATAAGAATACAATGTGCAGTAATTTATTTCCCAGTGATTCCCACAGAATAAATCCAAAGTAGCAGCAATAGACATTTCTTTGGATATATCATAGAACCTCTGGGTTGAAAAAAAAGAGCAATCTCTGCTCCAGAGTCCTGCTGTGTATGACACACACCCCTGCACTTCAGCCCTGACGATGGGAACGTGTCAACCTCTCCTCGGAAAACATCATCAGTGATTTTTTGTTCTTCCACTTGTTACCTGGCGTCTTAATAATCTCTAAATCCAGAGTTTTAAAACAACAACAAAGAAAAAATATCTGGGTGTGATGGTGTGCACTTGTAAGCCCAGCATTCAGGAGGCTGAGGCAGGAGGGGAACCCCCATGAGTTTGAGGCCAGCCTGGGCTCACTGTGAGTTCAAAGCCAGGCTGAAGTACAAAGCAAGACCCTGCCCCCGCCCCCACCCAAAAAAAAAGCAAAATAAACAAAAAAAAGCTTCACTTCACACACACGTTAATGGCCACTGCAGTTTGGCTGCAGCTCTACTCCAAGTTTTGAGGTTTTAGCTTTTTCAGTACTAGGCTCTGAGCCCATGACTTCAGACAAAGCCACACCCTCATCGCTTCTCTTACTTTGAGACAGTTCTGATCAGTAGTCACCAAGCTGCCAAGCTGGGCTCACACTTGAAACCCTCCTGTCTGGGCCTTTGGAGGACTCCTCTGAGCTACTTCCCTTCTGGGACCCAGGCCGGGGAAGGAACCGCAGAGAGGGCCACGCTGCCTCAGCGGCAGGGGCAGGAGAAGAAAGGAGCAGAAGAGAAACTCTTCTCACTTCTGCCTGGACACACTCAGGCCTTTCCAGTCACACTGCTCAGCCAAAGCAAGTCGCAAGGGCAAGTCAGATGTCGACAGGACAGCAAACACGCTCCTCTCAAAGAGAGGGGCTCCAAGTAAGGGCATGGTCGGGCGGGGCTGCAACTGTTGTGGACAAACACTAAATGGTGGCACTTTTGTGAGCTCAGGTGGAACCACTTAGGGCCTCTCAGTCCAAGATGCTACCAAAGAATCCCAGGTGCTGATCCTCGCCTGCCTGCGCAGGAGAGTCAGCTGTGACGACATCACAGGTGCTTTCTCACAGAGGTCTTGTCCAGCAGTCTTGCCCGGAATTTTTGGCATTTTTTAAATGCTTCAGGATGTTGAGGCCCCAATAACACCGTGGGCCTTGATATCCAATCCTGGAGACACATCTCACAAACCTAAAAAGTTCTTACGAAATGCAAACTGCGCTTCTGGGCCTTGTCCCAAAGAGTCTGATTTGCAGGACTGGTCTGGAGTTGTAGATTCTGGGTTTTTGTTTTTTTGGTTTTTTTTTTTTTTTTAAAAGCACTGTAGGAGATTCAGATGTGAGACTCAGGAGGGCGTTCCTGAGCTATAGGTCCCTCACAGGAACAAAATTCTGCAGTCTAGACTCACTAGTTTCCTTTTTTTTTTTCCAAAGAGGAGGAATTTTTGTTATATTTCTCATCTAATTTTCTGTTTGAAGCTTTTTATATATGTATTCAACCTAGTCAAAATTTGGCAGGTTTTAAAAGAGAAAAAGACCAGACACTGGTTTGCTTAAAAGGAATTAATAATGAAAGCTTGCTCTGCTAGAGTCGGGTGACAGAGAAGTACCAAAGGGCGAAGATGTAAAGTGACTGGGTAGCACTAACCACAGACAATAGTGGAGATGTGGTGACAATGACAGCTCCCGTTTACTCTTTAGGAAAAGGCATGGCTTAGTATGAGATGCCTCTCTGAACCCCTAGGACATTCTTACGAGCTGGAAAGCAGTGCATCCATCACAAAAACCAAAGGCCCAAGTTGCCGAAAAGTTAAATCACAAAGTGCAGATGAAGTGAAGTAGGGTCCTCACTTACATCTGTCCAGCTGTAAAGCTCAGACTCGCACGGCTCAGCCTCGGGCATTTTCTTACGCTTTCATTAATTCCATCATCAAAACCACAGGAAAAGGCAAAGAGAAACATTTAATCGCAGCAGACCTGTCAAGGAAGCAGCATATTTTGTGACACCTCCCGAGAGGCATCTTGTCCGTGATGGCCCCGATTGTTGACTCTTCCCCCCTCCTGCGAGAGCCCCCTCTCTGCTGTTGTCCCTGCAATGGCAACATCCCAACTGATGACCACAAGTGTCCCCACACTTTATCACTTCCTGTGTCTGGTCACAGCACATTTGCCAGTCTTTAAAAAAGCAAAAGAAAATCAGTTTGGAGCCAAGCACCATAAAACTGATTTGTCTGCATCAGGGCTTTCCAGTGTAGGTGTCGCTGGGCCAGGTAGGTCTCCGCTGTGGGCTCTGCCCTGTGCACAGCAGGCTGTGGGAAGAATCTGCGAATTCTACCTTCCAGGTGCACACTCACGCCCTTGCCCTGCTCAGTGTGACGACCAACTATGTCTCCAGACATGGCCTTGTTCCCTAGGGGACAAACTTGCCCCTGGTTGAGAACAACTGACCTAAAATGATACAACAACAAACACTCTGACCTGGATCTTGTGACCACAAACCAGGGTACTCCATGACACCCTCAAAGCTGCCCTGGAATTACAATTTAAGTTTTGAGTGACATCCAGGTAATGCCTTTATTTCTCTGCTGATCAAACTATCATAGCCTAGAGATGTGAGGTGACTAGCACAATTCTGTGGCTCAAGATCCTTTAAAAATAATTTTTAACATTCCTAAGATCATTAAACTGAATCATACTGCTGATACTTGTGGCATGGAGTCCTAACTAATACTTTTCTCAGGAATACTCACCTTGCTGCCATTGTTAAAACGCTGACAGGTGAGCCAGGCATGTCACTCTTTTCAGAAAGCAAGTGCTCCAGCCATCCATCCTGTACTGCTGCCACCCTTCATTTGGAGCCCTTCAGTCATCTATAAAATCTCCGTGCTTCTAGAAGCCAGATTTCTGAGAAATATAAAAATCTACTGTAGGTTTCTGGAAAGGAAAAAGGAAAAATCACCTTTTTGACCAAAGAAGACCACTTGGAAAGTGGGGTCACGCTGTCCTCAGAGAACCTTCCCTCTAGGCATTCCTCTCATTCCTCTGGTCCTTCTTACTTCCACCCCACCCAAATCCCATTTCTTGGGAGCTCTTTACACAGCACGTGGTCTGTGTGCCATAGGATCCTTTTCTTGAAGAAACCAACTGTTTCGGAGCTAATTTCCTGTTGTCAAGAAAACAGCGCAACCTTGGAGACCCAGCAGTCCTTAGGGGTTTCCGAGTTTCCTCAGGTCTCCCCCTTCCTGAACTCGAGCTTGTCTAGTGCTCGGTCTTTCAAGGAAGAAAATCAAATATGACCTCTCTTTGGACACACACAGAACTGCAAACCAGATGCACCCAAATGACAATGGCTACTATAGAATTTAATTTAAAATTCCATTACAACACATGAGCCATTAAGAATTAGGGGGTAAGGAGAGGACATAAAAAGATTTAATAGGGGCCAGGGAGATGGCTCAGTGGAATAAGTGCTTCCCTGGCAAGTGCAAGGGCCAAGTTTAATCCCCGGTTCCACCAAAAAAAATAAAAAAGATTTACTACATGCCATGCATGTGCACCAGCTCCACACGATGAGTGTGACCATTATGCATGTACTGCAGACATGTACTAATACAAATAAAAAGGTTTTACAATAAAGATAAAAAAGAATTTAAAGCTATGATTTTCAAAAGTATAATACTTCAGTTTTTAGCAAATTAGTCTAATACAGCACATTATATGAGAACAGAGCTATTATATAAAAAAATTACCCACACATACATGCAACAAGTACATCTCATGTATAAATTCAAGTACATGTCCCATTTTTTAGGGATAGCGTGAAAACTACCATCTATATTAATACACATTTCTTTAAGAAACACTTCATTAAAGTAGAAAAGCACAGCTCCACTGAGATTTTGAATTGAACCACATCTGCATTTTTGTGAAAACAACTCGATGGTAATCTAATTCTATTAATTCCGATTTGCAGTGTATAGAAATCTCTATAATTTGTTTTAGATATAAATAAAATATTGAAAGTCATCTATTTTTTAAGAAAGTAATTTCCACTCTTGTGGATTAGAAATAATTTCAGAAATCTTTATAAGACTCGAATGCTAAAGACATTGGTTCTAACACTTGCTTAACTGTTCACGTATATTCAGTGGTTCAGTCTTTATAAGACTTATTAATTTATATTCTCTAAATTAATTTATAGAATCTTCTATTAATAAGCAAGAGACCTGCATATGTAGCTGGCTGATTTTTCCCTGCCTAGAGGAAATCTAATATTGCGATGAGTCGTGCGCTTCCCTTTCATTGATGTTTAAGTGAGAACAGACTTGCTGCCCTCTGAGTGGACAACATGTATTTGTAAAAATCTGGCCGGCTGGGAGATTTTATGTGCCACAGCTACATTAATACAATACTTTATATTTAGCAAAAATAAAAACATTACTATTCATTAAAAGTTATTTTTCCTCCAGATGGAAGAACTTTAATGACAACAGAAAAATCCACATGCAAAAACAACCACTCTACAGGCGAGGTATCTATTATTTTAAGCAATGAATTTTAAATCCTAGTTTGCATAAAATCACCCACAAAGCTTATCAAAATGTGTGTTTTAGGGGCATATTCTCCAGACACTCAAATTCAGTGATTTGACAAGGGCTCAAGAATTTGGATTTGTGGGTCGGGGAGACGGCTCAGTTAATAAGCGCTTCCCTGGCAAGTGCAAGGGCCTGCGTTCAATCCCCAGTTCCATCAAAAAAAAAGAATTTGGATTTATATTATGCATCTCAATAAAGGTAATAAACATAAACAACTGGCCTACTTTATTTGCCCCTGAAGATTTGTCGTTGAGCAACAGGTGCTGTCAGCTATTAGCTTGCGTGTCTTAAAGAATCTCTTACGTGTAGTTCTTCTATAAACCTTGTACTGGTAAAATTCATTTCAAAGATAGATAGATAGATAGATAAATAGATAGATAGATAGACAGATAGATAGATAGATAGATAGATAATCATCTGCATCTTTATTCCTATTTATCTGTCAATTTAATTAATGCCTCTTCTTTAGATTCAGAAATGGATATGCAAAAACTCAGGTCAATTAGGTGCTGACTATCCAAGTTAGGGCAAACTAACAATATGAATCCTATTTCTTCAGCTTTAAGATGAGATTACGAGACCACTTCATGGATTTATGGTGAAAATTAAATGGACAACTGTCTATAACATGCTTAGCCCTCCACCTAGCAAACAGTAAGTATTCTATAATTAGTATTAGTCAAGGAGGAGGTCTAGTCATGGAATTTTTTTGATGTGTCTTATTTATAAAAGAACTTGCTCCATGTTCTCCAGAGCTCTTGTACATGCATCATTTCAATATATCTTCCTAATACTGTTTCAGCTTATAAATGAGGTTCAACCTCAGTCCACTGCCATGCACACATGTACCCAGACACAAAATTGCTTCAGAACAGCTGGGACAGTGTATATTTGTTTTGCCTTTGATATAAGGAATCTGTGCCCCTTCAATACGCATAGATTTGGGAACTCACAGTGAGTTTCAAATTTATAGAAAGTAGTGCTAAGTAGCATAAATTTTGGAGTAGACAAATTTGGCTCTGCCACTTTTTCTTTTCTTATAAAAAGGAAAACTTTAATTGTTTAAAGCAAAGGCACAAATAAACACTTCATGTTATGGCTCTGCCACTTTAACGCGTGTGTTAACTAGACAATGTTATTTGTGTCTCCTAAAGTTCAATTGCCTCTTGGAGGGGCTAGGGAGATAGCTCAGTGGCATAAGTGCCTGCCAGGCAAGCGCAAGGTCCTGACTTCAATTCACCATACCAAAAAAGAAAGAAAGAAATCTTTTCAATCAATTGCCTCTTGGAAAATGGGGCTAATAAATTAATAATTAAATTTCATTAATGTTTTCATAGTGCACAGATGAATTGATCATAGTAGGAGTCATTATCGCTGTTGCTAACTTTGAGACTCAAGCAATGAACTTTTTCCCTAACATCTAATGGACAAAGGACTCGCGACCACTGAGGTTGCTTTGCTGGAAAAGCAGAAACACGGAGAGTCCCTGAAGCTGGGAGCTCTGGGTGCAGATCACAATGTGGCCCTGCCTGGAGTCTGGTTTCTGCTCCTTCTGAGACCCAGGCCTTCTCCAGAGGTCACTATGACCCTTTAATTTCACTTAAAAGAAGAAAAACCACCTTATTTTTCATTTAGGGAATTCCTTTGTAGAGTTTCATGATTTTGTCCCAGATTCTCTTGGGTCTGGAATATTACTTGTGCCCTTCTGTTTGCTATCCTGGGTTTCCATTAAAGATACATTTCTGCTGAGCTGAAGGCCCACACAGGTTCCGAGCTGGAGCCAAGCCCAAATCTTTTGTGGCTTTGAGTTAGTCTTGGCAGAACACTTGAAGGGTGGGAGGATTTTTTAATGGGTTTCTTTATAGAGACTCTTTAAAGAGTTCATTTAGGCTCAAACCAAAGTAAACTGACCATCATATTCCCATGGATTTTGGAGAGACAAGGGTTAGAATTCAGAGGAAATGTGGTAAGCAAAGCCTGCTGAGAATTTGTTTGCTGTCGTGGGCCACAAAGTGGTGGCCAGACTGCGTTGTCACTAAAAGAAACTTTCACAAAGACTTTAAAAAAAAAAAAACCAAACCTTCTACTCCTCCGTTCTCCAGGATCTTAGAAATACTTTGGACACATAGATGCACTGTGAGAATGAACCTCCAGTTTGGGAAGATAACAGCAGTGTTACTAAAATGCTAGTGAAAATTTAAAATGCTAGTATAAAGAGCCGGCCTAATAGCTCAGTGGATTAAAGTGACTGCAAGCAGGCGCAGGGGCCAGGAGTTTGATCCCTGAGCCTGCTGTGCCAACTCCACCCCAAGGGCATGCTGAGGCTGATTGAGACTGGCTGTGGTGGCAGCTGCTGTAATCCCAGCTCTTGGAAGGCTGTAAGCAGGCGGATCACTACAAATCTGATCTATGCAGTGAGACCCTGAACACCCTGTAGACCCTTCTCTAAAATAAAAAAATTTTTAAAATGTTTAAAAATCTAGCATAGAATGAAGGAATCACAGTTTTCCAAACACTATCAGCTGCTAATAGCTCTGATAGTTCATTAGCTTATCTGCCTTATTAAATAGACATTTACTTGAGGTCGGTGAAAGACAGAGATAGTTTTCTCTAATACTTTCTTCTCTTCTTCTTTTATATTCCTTCTTATGCCTGAAAATTTATGGGATTTAAAGGTTTTCAGTCCCCCCCATGGAATACCTGAAGAATTAATATGATGTTCTTCTCTTAATTATTTCCCAAAAATTGTGAAAAATTACAAATGAGATTTTTTTCTTACACAAGCTCATTGATCATAGTTTAAAATTAAAATAATTTTATAACGATGAAATCCTTAATATGAATGTTAGAAACCAATATTTTAGAAAAATTGAAACACTTTTTCATTGTACTTTGTGTTTCTAAGAGTGTAATCATTATTTTAATAATTTTTCTAAATCTATCTAAAGTATATCCTCCTGGGGCAGGGGAGATGGCTCAGTAGAATAAGGACTTCCCTGGCAAGTGCAAGGGCCTGAGTTTAATCCCCAGTTCCA